ACCCCTTCCCCATGTCTCCTCTCTCCCTTCTCCCTTTCGCTCTTCTCTCCTCCTTCCTCCCCTCTCCTCCCACCCCCACTCCTCTCACGCCTCCCTTGGACCCCTCTCTCTGTATTTTTTGATTTTTGTGTGTGTGAGTCTGTTACAAACGAGGTGAGAGAATGAAGTGGAGCAGAGGACAAACACTAATAAAAAGTAATGAAACAGTAGAACCTGCTGTAAAATTGCAAATGTCGTTTGGAAATTTCACAACATAGTCAATTTTGCAATTCGTTATTAAAATTCATAAGGAAAATTCAAAACTGTTTTCTGAGAATTAGAGCCGGTCCCCGCACCCTCTCGTTAGTTCGGCGCCGTTCGCACATATCGAGTATGGGACGCCCGCCCCGCGGTCCCGTATTTTTGTTCAGCCCAACCATCTGTCACCTTAAACATTTTGAGTTCACATACTTTTTGTTCATCGAAATCTTCGTTACTATTGTAGTAAGATTACAAACCTTGATTTTAACTTTCAGATCCCAGATTTTAAATTTTCGAAACAAGTTTGCAAATTTTTTTACAATTGTTTTAATCGGTAATTTTACAAACATTGAATTGCGTAAAAAGTTGCCAACAATATTTGTAAAATTACAATCGATTTTTTAAACAGTGAAGTGTAATTCATGGTAGACCAACAAGAAGCGTGCGAGTCCCATAGGTTATAAAACAAAACAAAAACAATTTACCAATAATTGCTGAGCGAGCAAAGCCTTCATTGTTAACAACAATCCTGTGGTAAAGTACAGGAAAAGTAAAGGATCTCCGTACATGATGAGGTACAGGACATCCGTACTTATTTACTGTGTATGCGCGTAAGGCTTCATGTTTGAAGTTCCTGTGCTCCGTACTCAACACCGTACTCATGCAAGTAGGGTACGACCAGGTAAATGCATGACCTATGCCGACTCTGCTAATATCTGTGACTGTTTATAACGCAGTGATACATTCGCATGGTGTCAGTCTTAAGGGCCCTGTCCTGTAAGTCCTGGGTATTATTTCCGTATTGTAATTGCTTCGAGTCTGCTGCTGCTGCTGTAATGTGTTTCTCGAGCCGACCCCTCTGTACCCCGATCGTGTTTTTGCAGGACCATGGAGCAGCTCCCGGACCACGCCGTGCTGCGGATGCTGCAGTTCCTGGACGTGACGTCCCTCCTGACTTGTCGCCTGGTGTGCAGGAGACTCGGGGACCTCGTGCTGAACGCCGATGCGTGGCGGCACCGGACGGTCTGCGTGACCACCTGTGCGTGTCCCGAGCTGCGCCTGGCGCCGTGTCTGCAGCTGCTGGACATCAAATCAGACAAACTCAGTGAGAGCAGCTGCCTCCCGGCCGCGCTCGTCTGGACCAGGTGCGCCGTGGCCAAGTTGCACCTCAGGGTGGCTCCGGCTGGCGACCTGATGGCCGGCGTTGCCACTGCGGCCATACTGAGGCAGGCGGGGCTTGGCCGACTTAGGAGCCTCGTAGTACATGTCAGGGCGGGACTCAGCGACTCCGTGCATGCCATGCTCCTGGCAGCGGTGGCGTCTGCGCGTGGCTTGGAAGAGGTGGAGGTGGACGTGACCGATGTTGTACCAGGCCTCATGGCCATCTCTCTTGGCAGCACCGCGGTGACTCCATCCCTTAAGCGTTTCGAGTGTGTGCTGGCCGAGGGGACGGAACCGTTCGTCAACTTCATCCTGGCCGGGCACGCCGACACCCTCGAGACTGTTCGCCTCTACGGCGCCCCGTTCAGCGCGGTCGCGACGTCCACTGCACCCATCCTGGCCCGCATGGCGCAACTGCGCCAGCTGACGTGCTACGTCACCATGCTCGGGCTGGAGGCCGTGGCTGCCTGCAAGGCGCTCCGGGTCCTGAAGCTCTGCCTCAGCTCCTGCACCAGGGAGGACCGGGCAGCCTGCGCAGGAGCCGTCGAGGTCCTCCGGCGCGCCGAGAACCTCCGGGAACTGAATCTCTCCGGTAACGCCGCTACCGCCCGTGTGTTCGTGGAACTCTTCCAGGCCCTCGCCTTGAACACGCGATCGCGCCTGGAGTCGCTGAAAATCCGCTTACCCTACCGTCATAATCGGAACGGCCCTTCCTTGCGAGCGTTGATCAGTGCACTCCCGTCGCTGGCGGCCCTGCAGCACCTGCACCTGCGGTACGTTACGGATACTTGTGCGAAGCAGGTCGTCGACGACCTGATGCTGGCCATCACCCCAACCACGGCACCCGCCCTGCGGAGGGTCCAACTGGAGCCACCAGCGCTGTGCGTTCACGGCTGGCTCCACGGCGACGCGTTTCAGACCGCAATGGCGAGGAACCCCTTGCTTCATTTTACTCTTGATTGCTTCATTGCCTACTGTCGGGACACAGCTTGTAAGGCATGCACGCAAGGTTGTCACGCAGTACTCCTGGGGATGGAAGAAGAGTCCGACGACTCTGACTGTATGGAAGAGTCCTACACTGGAAATGCAAGTGTGTGAATGTCGCTCACCTGCAGGTGAGCGACATTCACACACTTGCATTTCCAGTGTATGACTCTAAGGTAGAGTTCGATGACTCTGACGATACTAACCTGTTGCACCTTTTCTACCATGATACGGACAAAGAATGTGCCATTGATCACAGTTCAATCAGTAACAACTGGATCTACTGGAGCCTTACAGAAGGTTAATATTGTGTTAACAACAATGGGAAATTTAATTTCTACTTCCTTTGTTTTCTAATTATCATTATTTTTATTATTGTATGTTTGTTATTGTTACCATTTCCTTTTGTCTAGTACAAATTAAATAATTGCCTGTTTATTTGCGTTCGTCTCTTTTTTATTTCGACCCATTTGGTAGCAAAAATATTCCCACTGCCCCCTCCACAACACACTGCTCTTCATTTCAACTACAACAGAGTAAATCGCTAACTATACCCTATACCTAAGATTTTGAAGAAAAAAAAAGAATGAACAACACATTTTTTAAAATAATATACTCGTGTCGGCAGAGGGGCGGCCCAGCGAGAAGAACACACAATAAGGGGCATGCGTGACTCTTTCGATCATTGGAGTAACTGGCTTCGATATCGCTCAACAACCAGCAGTGCTGTGGCGGGATCAATATTATATTCCTATAGTCGAGCTATACCCTACTAGGGGCGCCGCCTCGGAGGGGGGCCTGGCGGGGCGCCAGGGGTCGCACCACTCGGAGCCCGCGTCCTTCTTCGCCTCCCTTCTCCCTCTCTTCTTCCACGCACCTCCCTCCCCTCGTCGCCCGGCCTCCCCCGCCCGAGTGCGGCTCCGTGGGTACGTCGGTACCCCCGGAGCGGAGGGCGGAGGCTCCCGAGAGAGTGCTTCCGGCCGGAGGTCGCTTGTCTTCCGGTATTGACTTCCGGTCGCGCGCTCCGCTCCCAGACCATCCTGCTGGACGTCCCCGAGTGCTTCCAACCTGCCATCCCGTCGGCCGGAATCGTTTAAGAATACTTGCTACTTGTCATCCCTGGCCTACCCCTACACCAGCACAGCCTGCGGCGGCACCCCTTCCCGATCCCTCCCTCGGCTGGATGCTGCGTTGGCTGGACCGGCCTCCGGGCCGGAGCCGCAGCAGCAGCAGACTGAAACTGAAGCGTCGTCACTTCCTGCAGTCAGCACAAAACGCCAAACCCCCGCCCCCGCCTGCCTGCTTGCCAGCCTGCGTGGCGCGGCTGGGGTAGCGCGCCCAGCCCACCGGCCCCACCACCCCGTGCAGTGGCGTATTCAGGCTGGTGATGCGAGGCACAAAGTTTTCCTCGCGTGGTAATCCGACCTGACTGTCAGGGGTTGGCTTTCACCTCGCGAACTCGCTCAGTGTGTCCTAGGGGTTGGAAAAACCAGTGCATCTTTTAATAAGCGTCTGTCTCAGAGCAGTCCCCGAAGTGTTGCGGGATTACGCACCCTCTTGGGCTGCATTGGTCGTGTGGTGCCTTTCGGGCGTTACTGAAATGAGCGGGACTAAGTTGTGTACAAAATTCCACCCTCGCAAACTACGAAATTGTCTGAATAACTATGAATAACTACGAAATTGTCATTGAATGCTGTAAGCAATGAATGCCGCGGCACAAAAGAACATGTTAACACACAATGGACATATTGGTGTGTGGTGTGCAACGAAGATGCATTCTCAAGCACATCCCTACCACATTCCAAAGTATTTGGACAGGTTTCGAAATAAGTCACATTTTTTACTGCCTGGCGCAATGTGTTGTGTGCACACACGTGTGTGAACTTTCAAGTGTCCACCGAGAAAAAAGGTTTTCCTACTTCCAGTACTTTTTGTTCTAGATCAATTTTACTTAACTCTTTGCACCCTAAAAGCTTATGAACATTTTTATTCATAGCTTGCTGATTTCTGTGTACGTGCTCTGTTTACGCATTTTTTTTAATACGCCGGTGTGAACAAATTTGTTCATACTATGAATATAAATGTTCTCAAGCTTCACTGGAAACGCAAGTGTGTGAATGTCACTGACTTGAAGGTGTGCGAATATCCATTACAAAATATATTTTTTCCTAGAAAATTCACACGTTTACCCCCCTAAGTGTACGAATGGATATTCGCTCACCTACAAGTGAGCGCCATTCACACACTTGCGTTTCCAGTGTTTTAGTGTGTACTCGAGATGATATTATTACATTTCGATAATGACAATATTTCGTTACTCCCACGGAAAGGTCGTGTCGTGTTCTCAAGTGTTCGAATGGAAATCCAAGTCACACCCGTTCAAGTGTGCGGCATTCACACACTTGGATTTCCAGTGCAGACTGCGGGCAGCCCACGCCCCGCCGGCCGGCGTGCGCCGCGCACGTTGGACTAGGGCAGGAATAAGGATCGCCAGGGTTGCGCGTCCTGAGCTCGGCACGCCGGCCTGGAAGCTGGAATCAGCACCCGCTCAGCAGAAAACAAGAAAGCGAGCTCGGCAAGCTCGGCGGGCGGGGCCCCCACGGGGTGGCGCGGCGCGGGGACCGGCGGGGACACCCATCGACCGTGACCATAGGACGTCCTGGCTCAGCGTCCCGTCCCGGCCCCGTCCCGGCGCTGTCCTCGCAAGCAGTTCACTAACCTACATCCCCTAACCGCCGCCCCCATGCTGCAGGGGAGGAAGGGACGCGGCGGCGACGGGACTATCTTTTCAAGGTCTTCTAATTGACCTCTAGAGACGTAAGCGTTTTAAACGGCTTATTGCTCTTCGTTTGTAAAGTAGTTTGCGTATGGTTGGTAAGGACGCTATGACTTATGTAATGTACACTATAGAAAAAAGTTGTCGTTTTTTTTTTTTTTTTGGAAAAATTCACGGGAACGGTATCGTAAATCTCTAAGATCATAGAATTAGGCGCGACTTATCGACGTGGAATTCATTTGACCAGCAAGAATGGGCTGTCTCAAATTTGCAACATATTTTGTAGATATTTAATTATTATTACAGAAATATGTCTACGAGGAGTATATTTTTCACAGTGTTCGACCAAGTGCGAAGTAGCTTGCGGTGAACATTCACCTTGACTTCCAGTGCTGCAGGGTTCACTGTTTGCATAGCTTACGAAGAAATTGAATTTTTATTTTTTTCATAAGTGCGGCGAGGAGGGTGCTCCGCCCATCAGCAGTGGGCACGCTGGATGTCATTCCTGTAATTGGAAAGTTGTCTGCATCTCTCTCTCGCTCTTTTGCCCCTTTTTCTTCCCGGTGAGAGAGAGAGAGAGAGAGAACGCGCGAGATGGGGCGGCGCGATTGCGGACCCGCGAGGTCGCCGCCTCCTGAGGGGCGCCTCCTTAGGGCCGCCTCCAGGAGGATAATGTGCCGTAATAAAGTCTCCATTTGCATGCAGTTATACTAAACAACTTGTTGCCGGGGCGTGTTGTGGTCGGTAATTGGTTTCCACCCCTCTTCCTACTGGCGCGCGCGGGTGCGTCCGTCTCTGTCGCGGGCCGCGCGCCCCTCCCCGCGGCTCTCTCTCTCTCTCTCTCTCTCTCTCTCTCTCTCTCTCTCTCTCTCTCTCCTCTTGCTCGCTCGTTTGCTCGCACCCACACCGTCTCACTTACACTTCCCCCAAGGAGATTCATGCAAATGCACGCTGGCAGGCGTGCGGAAACAAATGACATGTTTATGCCCGTGGTCCAGATTAGTCCCCCCCCCCCCCCGTGTCCCCTCTTCTCCTCCCC